CCTCTATTAATAAAGGAAAAGATAAAAAAAATACTGCATGTAAGGCTAGACAGATCATTGAAGTGCAGGTAAAGCCTAGTGTCCCCATTGGGGTGATTCACCCTCTGTACCTTTACTGGTGACCATCGTCTCAGGAACAGGAAGTGAGGGGAAATGTTCCAATGGGCCAAGGACACTGGCTCCAGAGACGTTCGTCTGAGAGGGGATATCAACTTTCTTCATTTGTTCAGTTTTAAAGCATATTTTTAAGAACTAAAGATGTGATTATACATTCATTTTTTACTTATTATTAGTTGTAAAATTTGTGCAGTATACATTCGATCTAACTGGTTGTTAAAGGCAATATAGACTCCTTTCCTGCAAGGTTCAACTTTTGTCATACATAAGCTAGTGAAATGGGTTTTAGCACATCATTTATTATAATAGCTGGACCAACCTAGTATGGTCTAATATCATCTAAAGCTCAGAACTTTTTTTTTTTTTACGTTGGTTTTTGATAAAAGTTTAGATCCTGTTCAGATATATATTGCTGTCTTTGTCTTATCTAGGGAGCTGTCAGGTGTAGAAGAAATGGTGAAAACATAAATCTGAATACGGACAGCAATGCCAGATTTTTTTTAAGTAGAATAAGGAAGATTTGAAAGCCCTATTAGGGTTTTTTCTGAGTCTGTCCCTGTGGCCCCCATTCTTTGTCCTGGGTTACAACAGTAGAGAGCAAGAAGGCATATTTCCAACAGGGTCACAGCCAAAAAGACCATGCAGAAGACTTTACTCTTCCACACTTTATGTAAACATAAGGTTTGACTGGAGTTGGACATTAAGTTGTATTTATTGCATCAAATAAGATACAATTCTTCATTCTGAAGTATTGAATTGTTTTTTTTTTCTTCTAGACACTTTGCTCAAAGCTACCTAAGCTCTGGGAGCTTCTGGAAAAAAATGGCTGACATAGAAAAAGATGAACGGGCCTGGGTCGGTGGGCTTCGTAGGGCAGTGACTTTTGCATTTGCCCTTTTAGTTCTGGGAGCAGTACTATGGGCATTTATTGATAGTATCCCTTTGGCCCGTGATGAGTATAGAATCATGGCCTTTGGAATTTATGGGGCGTTCTTAACGGTGCACCTCATGATCCAAAGTTTCTTTGCCTTCTTGGAGCACCGGAAAATGAGAAGAGGTGGCTTCCCTTGCTCTTACACCAAAAACGTTGCCTTGACCATATCTGCTTACCAAGAAGACCCCATGTATCTACGTGAATGCCTTGAATCTATCAAGAACACACAATACCCTCCTGATAAGTTAAGAATCATCATGGTTATTGATGGCAACAGCCCTGATGACCAGTACATGATGGACATGTTTCAGGAGGTTTTTTCCAAAGAGGATGTTGGGACTTATATTTGGAAAAACAACTACCATCACTGGGACAAAGACACAGCTGAGAAGTTTTACAGTCATGAGAATACATATGAAGTGTCAGTAGAACCCAACATCCAGTGGCTTGACCCTCGGCAACCAGGACAGAATGTCATTTTTGAAGAAACCAATGAGTTACAGTACCAAGGGGATCTGAATTATGACAATATGGTAAATCAGAGGCAAGTTGCTCAAGCAATGGAGATGAAGGATCGTAGAAATGACCTCTCTGGTGACTATCTACAAGAGGAACCATTGCCTGTTTATACAGACATCGAAATGGAGGACTCAACAAGACAAGAAATAGAGGCTATCATCAGGAAACACAGATGTGTCTGCATCATGCAGAGGTGGGGTGGAAAGAGAGAAGTCATGTATACAGCCTTCAAAGCTCTTGGAGACAGCGTGGACTATGTCCAGGTAAGCAATTACTTACAAGAGTTCACTGAAAGCTTTATAAAAATGTATATTTTAATGTTATCTGTTAAGTGTTAAATCTGAATCACTGTTCCCCAACTGCAGTCTTGTTGAGTTTTTAGATGAACGTTCACAAACTATTAAGCTTTGACATACCCCTCAGAACCTTACCTTCCTCTTTGAATGGTTAGGACCTCCCTTGCTGTGGTGGTAAAAATCTCGGCTTAAATGGGACATACAGTACCCATACTGTAGAAGCAATGTCCTATCTATAACGCAAGTGTAGTCAGTCCAGTATGCTGCTGCTCCTTCACTGCCCAATCACAGATTGGGGGGCGGGGGGGTGACCAATTATGTTGTCAATTACAGTAGAGAGAAGTCAGGTCACCAACATCTCGCATGTGTTTCCATTGTGTGTTAAGCTTTATGCCTTGAGTTCAGCTTTGAAAAAACACTAGATGAAAAAGAGACAGGCTTTTTTTTAAATAAGAGATTTCCCTTCACTTCCTGTGCCAGGAACGCCACAGGAAATGGGAGGAGATCTCTTTAAAGCGAAGGGACAGCCTCTCTAAGACAGATATCACCAGAACAAGTTTCCCCATTGGAGGACAAATAGAAAGAGTGGATCACCTTGGCAGAGACACAGATGGGGAAAAAACCTCCACATTCTATGTAAAATAAAAAAAAGGTGGGACTTAGCATACACTGAAGGATACAAAAAGAAGATTCTGGTTTGGTAGGACTGGGATTTAGCAATGAGTTTGTAAGTCATTATCAAAGCTGTGGGGGTTATTTACTAAAACTGAAGAGTGCAAAATCTGTTACAGCTCTGCATAGAAACAATCAGCTTCCAGGGTTTATTGCCAAAGTCAATTGAACAAGCTGAAGTTAGAAGCTGATTGGCTGAGCAGGGGTTGTCAATTGTGGCTCTCCAGCTCCTGTGAAACTACAAGTTCCATCCTGCCTTTTACTCTGGGAGTCATGCTTGTAACCAGGGGCGGACTGACAACTCATGGGGGACCTGGGCAATAGGGGATCATGGGGCCCCTGTGTCCTTGCCCAAACTCGAAAAAGCCTATGAAAAAGGTACCAGGGGCATCTCTCATGGGGCCCCCTACTGACCCTGGCCCTTGGGCAGTACCCGAGTTTCTAAATGGTCAGTCCGCCCCGGTAGAGACCAGAAGACAGGGGCTGATGTGAAAGCACAGTATATAAAGTGCTAGGCAAAGTGTTGGGTCTACATAAATGCCTGTAATAAATAAATAAAACAATAAATACTCTGGAGGAAGTCTAGAGCAGCATTTGTAAGTATCTTAGTCCCATTTTTGAGTTTGGGCAAGGACACAGAGGCCCATGACCCCCTATTGCCTGGGGGCCCCATGAGTTGTCAGTCCGCCCCTGGTCTCTACTTCATATGCAAGCATACACATACTAGGGCCAATTTTAGACAGGAACCAATTAACCTACCAGCATTTTATTTGGAGTGTTGGATGAGTCCCCAGTGAAAACCCATGCAAGCATAGGAAGAACATGCAAACTCCATACCTGTGGTGTGCTAGTTGGGATTCAGACCGAGAACCTTAGCTCTGCATGGCAGGCCTGCTAACCACTAAGGTAACATAACTAAAACCTGGGCATTTGGTCTGGTGATCTTTGTTAAAGAGGCGTATCTCAGTTCAAAATGGCCAATGCTCTTCTTTAGCAGAGACCACATGACCCAGATGGCTTGATTTACTAAAACTGGAGAGTGCAAAATCTGATGCAGCTCTGCATGGTAGCCAATCAGCTTCTAACTTCAACTTGTTCAATTAAGCTTTGCCAAAAAAAAATAAAAAATCTGGAAGCTGATTGGTTTCTATGCAGAGCTGCACCAGATTTTGCACTCTCCAGTTTCAGTAAATCAACCCCAAAGTGTAGTCTTTTTTACATTACTGGAGGGAGCCAAGGGCAGCATTTTCTCTGTTAAAGTTATGACTGTTTGTCCATCTATTGCTGTTTAATCACGTACCCTAGCAGGAATTTATGTTGACATTAGAGTATAGGACCCCCTAGGACAGTGGTTCTCAACCTGTGGGTCGCGACCCCTTTGGGGGTCGAACGACCCATTCACAGGGGTCCCCTAAGACCATCAGAAAACACATATTTCCGATGTGTAAAGAGCAGCTACTGTGTAGAAAGCAGCTACTCTGTTAAAAGCAGCTACTGTGTTGAAAGCAGCAGTATTGGAGGTAAAACGACACTCATGAATTATAATTACTGGGTAAATAATTTTATGGTTGGGGGTCACCACAACATGAGGAACTGTTTTAAAGGGTCACGGCATTAGGAAGGTTGAGAACCACTGCCCTAGGACATGCATTAGAAGGAAAACATAAAATATAGGATCATGAATAGACAGCCCTGGGCATTGAAACCAAAACACTGAGATATACAGTATAAAAAACAACTAAGTGATATACTCATAACTGAAGTGCAGTAGACATACCCTTTAACTTTGTTTTGTTGCTGTGGAAAAATGCAGCCAAACGACAAGCTTTCTATTCAATTCTGGCCTTTTGCCAGCATGAACAGGGTGTTGTCGCAGACTCTGTGACATTCGCAAATTTAATCTAATCCCAAACATGACAGACACCGCGATGAGACCTATTTATAAGAGCTGAAGCAAGCCTTCAAACCTTCAAACATTGATGCATTTGGTCAAAAAACAAGCTAACTTATGCTGGGTGTTATGCTAGAAGGGCAAGTTACAAACAAGTTGGCTGACGTAACTGTTGTCATCTGGCTAGAAATGAAGTGTCAAAATAGAATGCTTGGTTTGCTTTCCTATCTCCAAATACTCCCCAATGGTTAATTTTACAGCAACATTCACTGATCTGTTACATACTAAAAAACGTATCAGGGCCATCGCATTTATCATGATCAAGGTGGCAACCACCACCAGCCCACCTGCAGTAAAAGTTGGGGGTGCTCCTGCCTTTGAAGAAGAATTGCAAAGGAACATGAGATTATGAGACTCATAGAAGTGGTCATAGAAGACATCAAATAAAAATTATACAAGAAACATTTTCTGTAATTGTGTAATAGATTCTATAATGAATTTGCTGTGCATGACCCTTGAGGAATAAACCAATGAATTTTTGTTTGCCTAAATTACTAAAATAGGATAAAGAGAAATATTTAAGGTATATCCAAAGATCTAAAGCCATTTTTTTTATTTTGTTGTGGACAAAGTAGGGTAGCTGTTCTCAACCAGGGTTCAATGGAACCCCAAGGTTTCCCCAGAGCTTGCTAGAGGTTCCTTGGAGAATAGGCAGTGTAATGAATTCACCTGCCATGTACAATGACCACCAATGCAAGAGACCAATTTTCCAGTGAGGTCAAATTTACTCTGACCACCAATATAAAGGGACGCCACAATTTTCATTGTCTACTTTCTCTCTTGCTACTTACATTCCTTGTTGGTAAAAAGTTTGAGAAAAACTGCAGTAAGGAATAATTAAAACCTGTTGGGTTTTTTTGTCTGTATCCAGACATAGAACCTGATGTCTAATTAAATTATGATTGATTATTTTTATTTTTTCAAATATTTCTAAAACAGGTTTGTGACTCAGACACTAAACTGGAACCACTGGCCACCTTGGAGCTTGTAAAAGTACTCGAGTCCAATGACCGTTATGGTGCTGTGGGAGGGGATGTGCGAATCCTGAATCTAGCAGACTCCTATATCAGTTTCATGAGCAGCCTGAGGTACTGGATCGCCTTCAATGTGGAGAGAGCCTGCCAGTCTTATTTTGACTGTGTCTCCTGCATCAGTGGTCCTCTTGGTAAGTTATCAAAAGAATTTGTCAATTTATATGAACTTACCAATCAATTTACTAGTATAGTAACTGGAGGTCCAGACTTGGCCTTGGCCAAACTGACATTGACCAAAAAGTAACATGAAATGCAAATGTTCAACAGAAAGAAGTTTGATAACATTCAGCAACCACTTTGTCCTAATTTTGGTTAGACAGTCTCAATCCAGAGGGATGGACTTTCATAACATTGACATGGACAAATGTGTATAGGGTAGAATTTGGGATCCTTGGTTTAACAATGCTCTGATTTCTGAAATAGGCCATGCTAAGATAGACTCTTTGATACAGAAAACTGTTGCCTTGGTGTATTCAGCTCCTTGAAGATCTACAACAATACCTCCCCTAGCGAGAAGTTCTTTTAAGCATGACTTCTTACAGACAGGTGCTTCCACCCAGCTCTCCACATTCCTCAGCGCTCAAGGCTAAAACAGCCTGAGCAGCTCCACTGCATATGTCTGAAAGGTTTAACCTTTTAAGGGTTGGATCAATTCATTTATAACTGATGCAGATGAGTGAAGTCCGGAATTCTTTTAGTTCATTCGGAGACTGAGGGTCATTTCTGTCCTTTAAGTGGAACTGTGCTTTGGCCATGCTCTATGTAGTTGCCTTCTTCTCTTCCTTGCCTATGGCTTTGCTCAGCTGCCTGGACAAAAAAGGAAAGCCAGGGCTTTGGACTCACATGGAGTGGGTCACATGCCCATCCATACCTAGAAGTGCTGGGTATTTCCTTTGCCTCCCAGGACTGAACAAGACAGTAGGGGAGTGATAGAGAGTTAAGTAAATGGGTTAAACACAGGATTACCTAGGTGCCCAAAGCTGCCACAATTAGTTTAATTGTGACCTGCTAATACTTGTAGTTCCGCTCTAAGCAAAAAAGGAGAATATAAATAGGTTCACTGGTACTCAGGAGTTTTATTTATTTTATTTCAGGTACTTATATAGCACTGTCAAAATATGCAGTGTTTTACATATATATTGTACATTCATATCAGTCCCTAACCCTCAAGGAGTGTACAATCTAAGGTCCTAACTCACATTCATACATACACATATTAGGGCCAATTTAGACAGGAGCCAATTAACTTACCAGCATGTCTTTGGAGTGTGGGAGGAAACCAGAGTACCCAGAGTAAATCCACACAGGCACAGGGAGAACATGCAAACTCCAGGCAGGAGGTGCTATGGTTGGGATTCAAACCAATGACCCTAGTACTGCAGTGCAGAAGTGCTAACCATTTATCCACTGTGCTGCCCTATGGGGTGCTGGCTGGAAATATCACCATCTAGTAGTGTGTAGCATACTTAGAAAAATCGACACTCAACCCAATCCAGTCTATACGGTTAACATGTATAAGATGGCCTCAGAATTATACCACGCCACAAGCCACACCCTCTAATGGCATGGCTTGTGGAGTGGTGCAAGGCTGAGGCCATTTTACACATGTTAACTACATAGGCTGGATTGAGTTGAGCGATTTTTCTTAGTATTCTTCACACAACTAGTTTATGTGGGCAGCACACTGGCTAAATGATTAGCACTTCCACCTGGCAGTACTAGGGTTGTTGGTTCAAATCCCAGGCATGACACCAACCGCCTGGAGTTTGCATGTTCTCCCTATGCCTGTGTGGGTTTCCTCTGGGCACTCTGGTTTCCTCCCACACTCCAAAGACATGCTGTTAGGTTAATTGGATCCTGACTAAATTGGCCCTAATATGTGTATTAATGTAAGTTAGGGACCTTTGATTGTACACCCCTTGAGGGTTAGGGACTGATGTGAATGTGCAATATATATGTAAAGTGCTATGTAAATTGACAGTGCTGTATAAGTACCATAAATAATGTGGGTCCCAATCTTCCTGTTTTATTTTTTGTTTATGGATAATGCATAGAAAGAGCAGAAACATCCTAAGGGGTAGATAGGACCACTTAACAAAAAAAAGATGGTTTGGAATAAAGCTGGGAACTACAAGAGGGATATGTTATCGCTAGAATGCTAAGAGATATAGGCAACCAAACCATCAAGCCCACCAGACTCCACTTTTTGATCATTTTAGCCTTTAAGTGAAAGGTCTACTTTGACTCTCTACCTGGTGTATAAATATATTTGCAACTCAAGAAGGCAGGTAAAGTTTTCTAACAAACCAAACAAAAGTCAAACGCTACAGGTAAGGAGAGCCTCCAGGCATTCAAGTCCTCATAAGGTTCAGGGTAGGCAACTCTTCCGCCTTGGCTGTAACAACAACTGGAAGTCTCCACCACTTACGATCCCAGTCATATGCAATGTATGACTTTGCTGCCTTCTTCATTTCTGGGAAATTCAATACTAAAAAACAAGCATTTGAAGGAGGTGAACCAGCTTAGTGCAATGCCGTAGGGCCCTTTATTGAATTAAATAGATTCCAAAATATTCACAAAGAGCCCGGGGAAAGAGGGCATAGCCCTTGACAAGTGTCAGCTGTGTCCTATTGGTGGACACGCGTCTGGTGGTGCGATGGGAATTGTTACATGCCCTTGACTGTTATTCCTTTGTGATTATATTGGAATCTATTTTTTTTTTATAATAAAGAGTCCTATGATAATGCACTAGATTGGTGTGCCCCCTTCTTAAGCTTGTTTTTTTAGGTAGTTTTTTATTTATACACCTGCAGTGTTGGAAATAGGTGTAAAACTAGGCCTCAGGGCGCAACAACACAGAATGTGAGACAATCAAACCTTCCGTGAAACACTCCCAAGTAAGCCAGAACATTCTGCAGATGAGGTTGAATTATTTGCCTGCAGCATTATTTGATACATGTCACAGCTATACACACCAAAAAACAAAATCTGCATTCTTCAATATACTCATTATATTGTCTTGACCCTTCAGGACTATATCGTAATGACCTCCTCCAGACTTTCCTCGAATCCTGGTACAATCAGAAATTCCTGGGAACCCACTGCACTTTTGGTGATGACCGGCATCTGACCAACAGAATGCTCAGTATTGGCTATGCAACTAAGTAAGTAACCTACAAAGTTGGAAAGTCATTCATATTAAAGCTGAACTTCAAGCAAATAGCTAAATACACAAATAAAATATGTACAAGGCACCGGTTCTGCCTAATAATGGATTTTCATATTTATGTCCATTTAGTCCTGAGATGTGCACAGCTCTGGCACATAGCACAGGCCAGGACTGATCTTTATCTGCTGCAGTTACCAGTTGTGGGCTTGTCCCTGCCTGCCCTGTGTTTGGAAAGGATAGGAGATGGACACAGACCAGGGGCGGACTGACAACTCATGGGGCCCCCCGGCAATAGGGGATCATGAGGCTACTGTGTCCTTGCCCAAACTCAAAAAAGCCTATGAAAAAGGTACCAGGGGCATCTCATGGGGCCCCCTACTGACCCCAGGCCCTCAGGCAGTGCCCAAGTTTCCAAATGGTCAGTCTGTCCCTGACACAGACCTTCATTTAGTGAAAAAATTCATTCTTAGAGCTTATTGGCTGGGGTTCTACAGCTCTCCACAATGGGGGGAGAGGAATGCCTAGGGCAACACAAGCAATGAATACACCACTGATAGCCATAGACGGTGCTATTTTCTTTCCAGGGAAGAAAATCACTTGATTCCCCCATCAAGACAGTCAGTGTTGATAGGGGAATCCCTCCCATGGAGCCATTGTGTTCTCTCAGCGGGGGGAGCTGTCTCCACCTGGAGAACACAGTGAATATTGCTAACGGCTATAATAACTGCTAGCAATAATCGCATATAAAACCCAACAGGCTTGTTGTATCCAAGTTGATCAATCCAGCCTGCCCATACATTTTATTTATTTATTTCAGGTACATATATAGCACCATCAATTTGCGTAGCACTTTACATATATATTGTACATTCACATCAGTCCCTAACCCTCAAGGGATGTACAATCTAAGGTCCCTAACTCACATTCATACATACACATACTAGGGCCAAGCTAGTAGGAGCTAATTTACCTGCCAGCATGTCTTTGGAGTGTGGGAGGAAACCCACACAGGCAGAACATGCAAACTCCAGGCAGGTGGTGCCATGGTTGGGATTTGAACCAATGACCCTAGTACTGCCAGGTGGAAGTGCTAACCACTTAGGCACTGTGCTGCCCATACATGCTAAATTGGCCAAGAATCTATGGCCGGCTTAATAGAGAAAATAAGATGATGCGGTTTGGGGACAAGAAATGCCATCATTATACACCTTGTATCCCTGATGAAGGAGGATTTCTGACTACCAAAATGCATTGACTGAAAAAAGGGGAAAAACCCTGCGCTGCACCCCAGACAATACAATGTATGAATGAATGTGTGAAAAAAATATATATTCTGAAACAGTAGTGCTGCTACTCTTTCCCTGAACACCAGAAAATACAAAACATATAAAAAAATGAATGCGCTGTAAACTAAATAATCATAAACAATAATCAATCAAATAAATACTGATACATGAAAAATGTGCATAAATTAATTGAAATGATATAAATCCACATTCATATATTAAATAATTAAAAGTTATTGGATTTTTGGACTTTTAATTATTTAATATATGAATGTGGACTTATATCATTTCAATTAATTTATGCAAATTTTTCATGTAGCAGCATTTATTTGATTGATTATTGTTTATTGGGCAGCACAGTGGCTAAGTGGTTAGCACTTCTGCCTGGCAGTACTAGGGTTGCCGGTTCAAATCCCAACCACAGCACCACCTGCCTGGGGTTTGCATGTTCTCCCTGTGCCTGTGTGGGTTTCCTCCAAGTATTCTGATTTCCTCCCACACTCCAAAGACATGCTGGTAGGTTAATTGGCTCCTGTCTAAATTGGCCCTAGTATGTATGAATGTGAGTTAGGGACCTTAGATTGTACACCCCTTGAGGGTTAGGGACAGATGTGAATGTACAATATATATGTAAAGTGCTGCATAAATTGATGGCGATATATAAGTACCTGAAATAAATAATAATTTAGTGTAAATTGCATTGACTGCCTTTTTTATGTGGCGTCATATACGTTTTTGGACTCCCAAGAGTTAGTTGGTTTGGCTCTCTTATTGTCTCTCTTCAACCTTGTGACTGGAAAGTGAAAGGAGAAGTAGCACACTCTCTCATCTCTCCGTCACTTTGCACTCTCCTCCTATAAGTATGCTCCTTGTTAGCACATGACCACAACTGATTGGCTCCTTGTGCTGCTTCTTCCTGCAAGAGGCTGAAACCAAGTTAAATTTAGGTAGTTACACTGGTTACATTTTAAAAAAGAATACATTTAGGGAGGTATCACTGAATATAGAGGGATGCATCAACTTGTGTATTTTATACCAGTCTGGAGTTCAGCTTTAAAAGATGCTACAATAGAGAAAGAAAAAACTCATAGAGACTAATCGACTAAAAGAAAACCTAAAACACGAGCTAGCTACCATGTTGTAAAACAACCCAAGATCAGGGGCAGACTGACAACTCACGGGGCCCCCGGGCAATAGGGGATCATGGGGCCCCTGTGTCCTTGCCCAAACTCAAAAAAGCCTATGAAAAAGGTACCAGGGGCATCTCATATGATGCCCCTGGTACCTTTTTCATAGGCTTTTTTGAGTTTGGGCAAGGACATAGGAGCCCCATGATCCCCTATTGCCCGGAGGCCCCATGAATTGTCAGCCCGCCCCTGTGGTAGGTCTAGAGCAGTGGTTCTCAACCTGTGGGTCGCGACCCCTTTGGGGGTCTGACGACCCTTTCGCAGAGGTTGCCTAAGACCATCGGAAAACACATATTTCCAATGTGTAAAGAGCAGCTACTGTGTAGAAAGCAGCTGTGTTGAAAGCACCTACTCTGTTAAAAGCAGCTACTGTGTTGAAAGCAGTAGTATTGGAGGTAAAACGGCACTTCATGAATTATAATTACTGGGTAAATAATTTTATGGTTGGGGGTCACCACAACATGAGGAACTGTATTAAAGGGTCGCGGAATTAGGAAGGTTGAGAACCACTGGTCTAGAGGGATATGCTCTATTTATATTTCATGTCTGAGGTTTAAACCACTTTGTAACCCATTAAACACAAAGGATACTATATAAATTATACAAATGTCAAAGTAAATATTTCAAATGACTAATCTCAAACATTAATTTTTTTTTTTCAGATACACCGCACGTTCAAAATGTTATTCTGAGACACCTGGCCAGTTCTTGCGTTGGCTGAACCAGCAGACACGCTGGACCAAATCCTATTTCCGTGAGTGGCTATACAACGCTCTTTGGTGGCACAAACATCACCTTTGGATGACCTACGAGTCAATCATCGCTGGCGTCTTTCCATTTTTTGTCACAATCACAGTCATCAAATTGTTCTTCAGCTGCCATCTATGGGACATCCTTTGGGTCCTTATCACTGTCCAACTGATTGCCACTGTTAAGGCCTTGTATGCTTGCTTCCTACGAGGCAACATGGTCATGATATTCATGTCTCTCTATGCCGTACTCTACATGGCCGGACTGCTTCCTACAAAGTACTTTGCCATTATTACCATGAACAAGAGCAGTTGGGGTACATCGGGACGAAAGAAGATGGTAGGTAACTATATGCCTCTTCTGCCTTTGTCCATCTGGTGGGGGATCCTTTTTGCTGGTTTGCTCTACACAATCATCATGATGTCATTGTGCACCGATTGCCGTCTCATTGAAGCAGAGCAAAATTATTTGATCTACGGCTTTTCCGCCTATGTTGCCTACTGGATACTGATGATATCCCTCTACTGGCTTTGGATCAAGCGCCTTTGCAGAAAGAGGCAGGATTATTACGATGTTACGGACTGAAAAGGCATGCAGACCACGAACATTAGATCCAAGAGCGTATAAAGGACATACTACCAAAAGTATTAGTGGAGGTACTGTATGCCATGGAGGTCGGTGCCACAACGTGCTGAAGTCTCCTTGTCCTCTTGCAGGTTGCTTGCGAGAATAAGTAAAAGCAGCTTCTAAAAGGAAAGCAAACTTCAGGCTGAAGACCTATTTCCAACACAGCTTGTTTTTGTGAAGGTTGCCTATTCTCTACATTTTTCTTTAGTTATTGTATATTTTAAGCCAACTTTTTAAAGTGTTTTTGATATACTGGAACAAGGACGACTGCAACTGTAGTCATTGAAAAACATTTACCTGTGGCAGGTATGGTCTAAACATCTCACTCTTTTTGGAGCCCAACTATACCAAACACCAGCTCAACAAACCATAAAGACTAAAGTGATTACATATTGTGTGGTCTAAATCTGTAGAGACTGCAGATATGGAATTCTGACTTGAATATATGTAGGGTACAGTGCAGAGGCCATCTTCAGATGGTGGCATTAGGCAACCGGCTGAGCAGCTGTACTCTCGAGCCAGCTCTAACTATTCCCTAAGTGTGCACTCAGAAAATATTCTAAAAACTTGAACTTAGAAAATGCTGCACCGTTAAAGCCCCTCAACTTCTCCCTCCTCCTACCCATAGTTGGGAAATGGGCAAGGCATAGATGTCAATGCTGCTTGAAACAAAATGGAGATGTGTGCTCTCTTACTGTGTTTGTGGACATCTATGAGAAGTTTTTACTACTTTTTGTGCATATAATGTTTACTATATAGATTTTATGACATTTTATATTATTTATTGGTGTTTCTATTAAATATTTAAAATTACTTTTCCATGTTGTATGCGTCTTACTCATTTGAAGATGGGTTGTTGTCACTTGGTTACTCTGCTGGGGTATCTAGTACAGTTCTTGTACAATTCCAAAAGAATGGAAACCCTATACGTTGATCAAGATAGTCTGGTACAGGGGCGGACTGACCATTCGAGCACTCGGGCACTGCCCGAGGGCCCGGGATCAGTAGGGGGCCCCATGAAATGCCCCTGTTACCTTTTTAATAGGCTTTTTTTGGGTGTGCTTTGAGTGTGGGTAAGGACACAGGGGCTTGTTGCTATAGACCTTGTTGACCCCTCTCCAAACATAGCACGTATGGTTGTGACCAGGGACGGACTGACCATTTGGAAACTCGGGCACTGCCCGAGGGCCTAGGGTCAGTAGGGGGCCCCATGAGATGCCCCTGGTACCTTTTTCATAGGCTTTTTTGAGTTTGGGCAAGGACACAGGGACCCCATGATCCATATTGCCCGGGAGCTCCATGAGTTGTCAGTCTGCCCCTGGTCTGATACCATATCCTGATATAATATATCACTAGAAAAGCATAGTTTTCTAGTGATTCAACTGATGACCTAAAGTGGCATACATGTAGTCAACACCTTCTTTTCATTTTTCAACAACATTTTTTCCATCCTAAATAATTCAATCCTCACCTGACTGCTGTATTAGACCTTTTATGGCCACCTAATATACAACTCTGCCTTTTGGCCAATTTGACATTGCAAAAAAAAAAAATAACTGCAGTAAAACAACTCACAACTCACTTTGCCCAGGGGCAAATATTTCAAGTGTCTACAAAGACAAAATGTTTCTTTTAGCTTTGGATAGGGCATGAAAAGAATAGCAACCCTGTCAGGTTTTAATTGTTGTCTGTGTCCATGTTGGGGAGAGTAGCTCTCTTTTTTGACCTGGTGGCCCTTGCACCCTATCGTAAATAAAGGAGAAATCTCCCAATGGGCACTCTTGGAGATTTACGCTTAATTCCTATTGTGGAAATCTCTCCAATGCTGCTTTTCTAAACTTTTTCAAAACAGAGGAACTCTTTAAATAATTTTCTGGTCTCAGGAAACCACTGCTAAAAATGAATATATCTAAAACTCATGGAACAAGTTTGTGATGGTCAGTGGGAAGAATGTTCCTTACACTTGTGGACATTGGGAAGAATTACCTCTTTACAGGTCAAAAAAATCAATGGTGTCAGTGGGAACTTATCTGATAGTCAGAAATTGTTGCTCATGATACCCCTAGTAAGCTCTGGAGGAACCCTGGTTGAGAAACCCTGCTCCAATCAGTTGCGGACTGACAACTCATGGGGCCCCCGGGCAATAGGGGACCATGGGGCTCCTGTGTCCTTGCCCAAACTCAAAAAAAGCCTATGAAAAAGGTACCAGGGGCATCTCATGGGGCCTCCTACTGACCCCGGGCCCTCTGGCAGTGCCCGAGTTTCCACATGGTCAGTCTGCCCCTGATAACAACCAACCTGAGCTTTCCAATCATTCTGTATCCAGTCAGGTGGCCCTTCTACCAATCAGGTAGCCATACACGGCTTGAATTTCGGCAGACTGAGCAAGTTGTTCGGTGGGCGGCCGCGTCGCTCGTTAGATTTATGTAACATAACAACCAGGGGCGGACTGACAACTCATGGGGCCCCCCGGGCAATAGGGGATCATGGTGCCCCTGTGTCCTTGCCCAAACTCAAAAAAAGCCTATGAAAAAGGTAACAGGGGCATCTCATGGGGCCCCCTACTGACCCCGGGCTCTCGGGCAGTGCCCGAGTTTCCAAATGGTCAGTCTGCCCCTGGTTCCAATTCACAGGCAGCAAATAGAAAATCGACTGATTTCACTTTTGCCTATTCATTCCAAAACATTTAAAAAATGGCTTTAGATGTACTCTAGCACACACAATTCCATAGACATTCCAATGTCCGCAGTTCCCTATGAGAAACATAATCTCAGTTTGCAATACAATGGAGACACAGACCCATGGCTTGCCAATTACAGCTAAATCCAGGTGCTTCATCCACTCCACCACATTCCTTCTCAATCCTTTGCAGCTCATTTGGCGTGTTTTCCTTTCTGACAACTGTAACAAACACAACGCCACAAAACTTTAGCCACTTAACTCTGAGATAATTACATTTGATGAAGGAAATCAACAAATTTTAATTTGTTTGTAGAATATTTTGACATAAGCTAAATGGCATTCTGTCACATAGCTATATCTTTCCCCCAGGAAACCGAGAGCTAATTATCTTCGCATTGGACAGATTAACACGTTAAAATTTGCAACATCCCAGCCCTTCTATGAATGAAACTGTAACTTAGAAAAACAAATCGTTACCAAAAAAAAAAATAATAATTTTTGCCCCAAAAATATACTCTATATACTTATTTTAAATGAAGAATACATAAAGTAAAAGTGTCTGCCTTGATTTCAGACTGATATAGAGATTGTATGCTTCTTCTTGCTGACTGCGCACATGCATCAGAACCACATAGACTACTATGCCTCATGACTCTGTAGAAGTCTATGGGGTTCTGCTTTGCAAGTTTACAGAGCAGACCCCAGACTATTCATTAGTCCCACAACCAAAAAAAGTGGCCACACTCCTTGTCTGCCAGATCTTTCTGGAGGGATCGTGCAGTCAAACGTGGGTTTTGAATTGTTTTTCTCACAATCCTGCGAGCTGTTCTGTCTGATATTTTTCTTGGTCTTCCAGATGTTGCTTTAACTTCCACTGTTCCTGATGACTGCCATTTCTTAATTACATTCCGAACAGAGCATATTGACATCTGAAAACGCTTTGCTATCTTCTTATAGCCTTCTCCAGCTTTGTGAGCGTCAACTATTTTCAGTTTCAGTTTTCTAGACAACTGCTTAGAAGAACCCATGGTGCTGATTGTTGGGGCAAGGTCAGATGAGTCTGGGCATTTAAAACCTTTGAGATTGACATCACCTGGTCTTCCCAGACGATGATTGAGAACAATCCATGACACTGGCAGGTCTCAGCTTGGCAAAGGGGGCAGTGCATGCTATAAATTCTGCAGGGTGCCCAAACTTTTGCAAACGCCATTTTTTTGTTTTCTGTTATTTTGAAAGTGTAAATGATGGAAATAAAATCTAACTTTTGTTGACATATTATAAGAATGTCTAATCTGTAATTCCTTGGCTTCTTTATGCACATTAATACAAATTTTTAGCTGGGGTGCCCAAACTTTCGATCCCCACTGTATGTGATGGTTTATTAAAACCTTTGGACCCATATTAGTGATCCTCGGTGTGCTGGTGACATTTTTTCCTTGCTGATTTTGTTCGGTTCCAGCTGACGGTCACTGCAGCACCCACTTATACACACAGCCATTTTTAATGCAGGAACATGTGCGTTTGGATTGTACACTTGCGGATGTACAGACCTGACCTCAACAGGAAGAGATCTCACCACCAGTGAAAGTGATTTCATTTACTGGAAATATCCTTTTTTTTTAGGTGGACCTGTGGGGAGGTGCAACGTGTGCGGTGGCAGCGAACACATCCATTTACAATTAAACTTGAAAATTGTATTGAACAGAATGCCAAAGTTACAGACACCCCAGTGGGAGAGCGCCGCTTAGAGGAACAACTCAGAGTTCAATGCAATCAAAGACGTGGCTGGTGAGAAGTGACGACAGCGTCTGTTACAGATGTGGAAGTGTGGCTTGTCCATTCTTCTCTGGAACCTTTCCCTACGGCTAGTTGCTTTCCCTAACAAACAGGGTCTCTCTCAACCCTAGCCACTCGCAAAATGTGCGCCATATATAGACCCCGCTGACCCAATATGTCCTCCAACAGTTACATGACAGAAGAATAGCCAACTGGGAGGCTACTCCATTGACCCAGGAAACCATAAAGAAACTATATTTCCTTTTGACTTCCTCTACAGGCTGTGGTGCCACTTAGGTTGATCACCACCTACAGTGGAGAAAACACACTGTACCTGCCTACAGACCAACCAGGTGACTATGAAGTTTCTTTGCAAGTTCTATATGTTTACCATGTTCAAGTCACTACTACAGGTATTAACCATATTAACCTCCTTGGTGGTATTCCCGAGTGTAGCTCGGGGTAAAATTTCTATACCAAAAGCGGTAACCCCGAGCTAC